GTTCTATCGATAAATTTTAAGGAGAAAGCATGACAAGTGCAAGCGATTTAAATATCAACAAAGAAACTTCTACAAATGAAGAAGTAAGTCAAAGAATTTCGTTTTTATGTTTTTATGCTACATTTTTCTATGAAGGAAAAAACAACGATAGAGGAAACAAAAGAAAAATCACCAGCTGAAATCAATACAAAAAATGAAGACGAAACAGCTGTCGTTGTTTCTTCTGAAGAAGCAGATGTATCAAAAGATGATGAACAAAAGAATATTGAAAAGCTTGAAAATGGTAATGAAAAAGAAAAACATGATATTTCATCTATATCAGAAAGTGAATTAAAAGAAAATGAACTTGATGCACAATCACTTTTCGAACAATCAATGGTTGTTAATGGAAAACGTTCAAGAAAACCAACATTACGTCTTGAAATATCTGAATCACTACCAACAAAAAAAGAATTATCTATTCCTAAAGTAAATTTATTTATTGATAAAATAATCTAAAAAATAAAACAGATTTCATCGAATTTCTCCCTTCGATTGTTAAACAACATCCGTTCTTTTTAGCATTCAAGCACCTACTGTCATTTACAGACATATCTAAAAAAGAAAGCAAAATCCTAGAAGTTACTGAGTAAAACTCACGAAGAAAATCTCACAATGAGTCAGGACTATGTGCATCATGTAGACTAGGCATCTTAGTTTATTGCTGCCGAGATATTACATTTTTACGGTATTTTTTAAATGGATGCCATGGTAACAGAAAAACCGAATTTCGCCTTAAAACTTTTAAGTCTTTTGATTTGCTTCTATCCTGAGATAAGAACATCGCATCTACCAATGTATATGAGTTGTATCTTAGAATAGAAACAACGACAAGATCTAAAACATTTGCAAGGGACTGTTCTCATTACGGCCTGTCTCTATACAAAGTTTTACATCGAAATTCGAAAATCAGTTTATCTGTAACCATGGCATTCAATAAAAAACCTATGGTAAAAGTACAGTATCTCGGTAACAATAAGCTAAGAGCTTGAACTCTCTTTAGAGTAGTCATAACTCGTTTAGACCTACGTAATGCACATAGCCCCAGATCCTCTCGGCTCTGAAAGGTTCGACTCCGAAATTTTTGAATCAGATGGGCACTAGCTGCTGGACGTCCCTTGTCAGATCTATATATTGCTCAAAATTCTCTTTTTTCATTAGTTTGTGGCTACGGTTTGACGATTGTTCAAATTGTATAATAAATAAATTCAAATTTTTTTTGTTATTTAGGGTCATGGTAAACCTTTAGGTGAAATTGAATATAGTAAGTTGAACATTAATTAAATCTATTTTCTAAAATAATTCCTATTTAGTTAATTATCAAATAACTCATGCTTCAACTGATGCTTTATCTCGAATGCGTAATATTTGTTTTGGTCGACGAGGAGTAAGAATAATAATAAAAAACAAAGTATCAACCAAAATAAAACGATTTTTTTTGTTTTTAAGAATAAAGCAAATATTCGAAAAAATCTTCGAGAATTTAAAGGATTTGAATTTCGACATAATAGTGATGAATATCAGAAGCATTTCAATAATTTAATAAAGTAGAATAATTCTAATTATTTTTATTGAAATAACGTATTTTTTTTTGTTAAATTAGATTAAAAAAAGATCAATTAAAATCAATTTCGAATATTCTTGGTCTACCAGCAACAGGTCGTAATATTGATCATGCTGAACGAATTTTAAAATTTTTAATCGAACCAATTGATGAAGGAAAACGTATACCAGGAAAAAAATCAACAATACGTACTATGAAAAAACGCAGTACTAATTCAAAAGAATCTATTGATACTGATCAAGAAATAAAAATTGAAGTAAATTAATATCTTGCAAAAAAAAACAAATTTCAATTAAGTATTTATTTTAGAATAATAAAGATGAACATGACTTAGATTATGTTAATACACCTAGTAAAAAACCTTCAAATAAACGTTTGTCTAATGATCAAATATCAACTAATACCAAACGAAAAAAACGTTTGTTATAAACTTTTGAAATTCTATAAAATGATTAGAATTTTTCAGGTGCATCTGCAATATCAGAATCGAAAGAAAATCATGAAACAAATATTACTACCGATGAACATAAACATAATGATGAAGAAATAGTAAAGATGAATGAGAATGATATTACAGATAGTAAATCAATAGAAAAATCTGATCAAAATGAAGCAAAAACAAACAATACAAGTCAAGATGTAATTTGATTTAGTCTATTTTTTATATTTTGTGTGTGATATTTTTTTTTGTTTTTGGTTAATCTATGTGTGTGTGTATATTCCTTGAAAGACTTTTGTTTGTTTTTCTTTTTCTTTTTATGGTACGGACTTATGAATCGAATTATACATGAACAAAGAAAAAAAAAAGATACTCTTATAGATTTAGTTGTTTATTATTTTCTTTTCTTGTGAACATGATTAAAGTGTGACATAGTTATATTTACATTGCTGATTTTCTTTTTTTGTTAACAGTATCTTTTGTTTTTTTGAGAAAATAAAAAGAAAGTTTATTTTTATCATTCTTTCTTTCTTTTTCTGATTCAGTACTTTCTATTAGTTTTCCGGATCATATCGTAATCTTTTATAAATGATTAAAAAATTAACATTTTCATATAGTCGTTTAACATTATCAATTGTTGATCAATTTATTGAGTTTTTCTCAAATATTGAGCATTTGTCATTGTGTATGAATATGAATGATGTTGATTTTCAACCAATTCTTTTAACACTTATATAAAACTTCGCACATCTTCAATCGATTTCGATTAGTTTAGCTGGAAAATTGACACATAATTTTCAGTCTCAAACTTATCCATGACTTTCAACAAATCAACAATTATATTCAGAATTTAATGATAATTTTCTTTGATAGACGATTCTAAGTTTCGTATCTAGCGATGCAATATTTCAATCTCTACGAAATCCTATTAATCTAGGTTCAAAACAACAGAAAGAAGTTTTTTAATTATGTATTGTTTTCATGGAGACGAATATTCAGTTAAAACAAAAAAACTAAACTTCTATTAAACAGCTTTCGAAAAGTTCTAATAAATGTGTATATTTTAATGTACATCGCGTTGGCTAAAACATCTGTTAGTTGAAGAAGAATATGAAAACGGTCATTACTTGTAATTAAAACAAAACGATCAATACATGCTAAAATAATAAAATGTCTCGCTGATTGGCCTAATGTATTTACTATATAATAACGTAATTTATAATAAATGAGAGAACGAGAACTTAAATCATCATAACTAATACTATAGAATATTGGTGGAATAGCGAATAGAAGATAATGATTATTTATAATCGATGTCCAAAATAGATACACTATGGAGGATTTTTGACGATGTTTTCAAAAAAGTATTATAATGTCACTATTACATAGTATATCCAAAATAAATATAAAAGAGAATCCAAAATGATTAACATGAGTTTGAACGATTGGTAATAAACTGCTTGATATGATGGTTGTTTTTGTCTTGTCTTGAATAATGATAAGATATATGTATGATATCGCTTTTATTTATATAATCTTGTTAAAAAATTCAACCGATTTTTCTCTTACTTTTCTCATATCAAGATTTTTATCAATGAGCAACGTGAAAATGTTTACTAGGAATTTTAGAAAAAAAATTGAAGTTGTGTGCACATGCTAATTGAGTTATCTAAACAAAAATGTCAATAAGGAATCTCGAATAAAGCTTGTTTGTTTTGTGTTTTCAAATTAAGTGTATTATGTTTTGCGTAGTGAGCTCTAAGTCTTATAAAAACAATTCACATATTATAGTTCCTTAGTTCATAATTATCATTTAAAATATAGTTCAAGTTGTTGTATTATATATTGTTAGGATTATTGTGATCATGTTTTGCTTTAGTTAGCCATTTGAAGAATAGAAATATTGCATTAAGATAATCCAGCAGATAGAATGAAATCAAGAAAGTAAAGATGTTTCTATTAATAGGATATAATTTAACAAACGTGATTTAAATATGTAAAAGTCATGCTACTTAAGTGAGTGTACTTATTATTTAAAAAAAAAGAAATATGAACGATGAATAATTTATTTAAAAGAATAAAGATCGATTTGACATTTTTCTAGTGAATGTAAATGCATTTAGTCATGAACAAAGTTAGCTCGTAATTAAAGGTACTAAAACAGTACAACAAGGTTAAATTACTGATTGACATGAAATGATTCAATCAAAATGAAAGTTTACCAAAATGGTTCTTGTTTTATTCTCATGTCATCATATATATTTTTGATTGATAATTAAATTTTCAGAAAATCCTGTTATAGTCATTTCATCTGCATAGTCCTTGTTGTATAGATATCATTCTGATTTTGTCAAAAATGGATAGGTAAACGTAAAATCAGTAAAGACTAATCTCAGTGTTTTTGATTTTCATAAATATGAAAAAAAAAACATGCATCGAATGTCATCAATAGACAGGTTAATATTTCCTTCTCGTCAATGAGTTGTTATTTGGAATATTTATTTAATGAACTTATAGATCTCAGTTAGAAAAGCGACTGTGTTAATTTTTCAAAAATTTAATCTTTAATCTACGATGAATTCATCACAAGAAAGTTTATTCTCATTTTTTTTCTCAGAAACAAAAGTAAAAGGAATTCAAATACGACAAAGAAAAAAATAAATTTCTAAGGACATAAACAAAACAAAAAATTTTGTTTTTCATAATGTGTAAAATAATCTTGATTAAAATCCATATTCGATAAGTTCTTGTTTTGTCATCTTAAATTGATTTAATTTCCATTTGTTCTTTCAAATGTCATAGAAAATGTGAAAAACCTATAACAGACATTAAACCATTTTGTTGAAGATCTCATGCATCTATAGGAAATTTTAGCATAGACCATTGTTTCATCTCATCAATAAGATAAATATAACCTTGATATTTAAATAATTCAATTATATATTGATGTCGAATATCTTATTGAGTTTGATGACTATTGATAATAAATTCTTTATAGAAATGAAGTAATTCATTTTTATTTATCGATGAAATTAAATAACGATAATCAAGTAAGAATTGACTAAGATTTTTATAACGTGTTGAACATTTCACATGTGTATAGAATGTATCAAACTAAATGAAAATAAATTATTTTTTCGATTGTTTTTTTTCTTCTTTTTCTATTTACGCCTTTTTGATCATTAAAAATTGCAGTAAATAATATCATGGATTCTGGTTGATATTTCATACATCTTAACCATCGATTATCTAAGTCAAACATTTCTATAGATGATTCAGGTAAACCTTTTCAAACAAAAAAAATAGATAAAAATAAAAGATTAGAATAAATTAGAAAAAAAGGACTTTCGCGCACCCAAATTTGAGGCTAATTGCCGCTCAAGAACTGTTGTTATTATATGTCCAGTAAAATGATTACGAAGTATGAGTTCTAATTCAATCGAAATTTTTTCATCTGGAACATCTATGATTATAATTTCAATATTCATTAAATCAAGAAAAAAAAAAAACAATAGCAATTTTTTTTCGTACCATTTAATGCCATAGTACATTAGGTTCATGTGCATATGGATCAGATGACAGAAGGCCAAAATAGCTGCAATTGAAGAAAAAAAAAGACTTGTTTTGTTCTATCAAAATATGTTAATCTAACCTAAAATAAAATAAAATTCCAATAGGATTTTCTTGTAATCGGAAATAATATCTCCATTAAAACGAATTTGATTCATTCTTGAATCATTAATTTCATGTTCATCCATGGATAAACTATTTGTCATCAATATTTCAATTATTAGTAAACTCAACAGATATGTCTTTACCATGACGAATAATTGATCGTTTTAAAGTTGTTACTTGAAATCTTTTCTTTTTTTTTTTCGTTATAACAAAATAAAATCAAAATCTGTATCTCTAATAAGTTATTTAACGTACTCGTACAATTGTACCAACAACAAGTATTAATGTTCCAAAATGTTCAGTACGTGTGTAAACAAGTTCAATATTTGAATCACCTTGAATAAGTTTTAATATATCATTTGTTGTTGCTGTTGTTGCTAAATCAATAATCATATGGTGGAACACCTAGTAAAATATCTCGAATAGTTTCGCCAACAATTCGAATAGTATAATGATATTCATTAAATAATGAAAACAGATAGTTCAATTGAGATGAAAATAAATGTTGATATTCAGATGAATTTAATTGATAATAAAGAACTGATGATGATATTTTCTGAAACTGACAAAAGAAGAAATAAACATAAACAAACAAAGTGAGTCATTTATACAATGTTTAGGTCTTACATCATCTTTTTTTCGGTAAAATAAATAAATAAAAAAATAATAACATATTTTATTCTAGTTTATTTTATAATTTATTTATTTCGTTATTTTTCTTTTTTTTTAACGTCCGTCTCCTTCCCCTCGACGACGTCTGATTTGGTGTGGTGGTGGAGCTTGTGATTGTTGTTGTTGAGGTGGTGGACGGTGTTGTTGTATATTCATTATTATATCAGTAATGTATGTGGTTAATGAATGATAACACCGCCCGACGACGAAACCACAGAAGAACATGACAAAACCAACGACATAAACGAACAACAAGCTAAACATTACGTGATGGATTATTATCTAGAACAGAAACAAGATTATAAGTGATTTTTTTAATGATAGACACTTGTGACCGAGATTAGGATAGAACGCACATAATCGCTATTTCGAATCGTTTCTCTATTTAACTGAGCTACTCGGTCACGTGTCATTCAATATGATAGTTCTTTCCTTATCTTCGTCGTGAAACGAATATTAGTATATGATGTATTTGAAATTTCACAAAGTGAACTTATTTCAATTAACAAATCATCTACATTAGAAAAACTTGCAAATAAAACAACGGATCCAACTGCAAAAAACAGTTTATGTCACATAACAATATTAATTGATTATGATGAAATAGATGCATATATAACAACAAAATTTGGTGAGAATATAAATTGTACTGTTAAATACTTAGGTATTCAGATATGGTTTCTATTGTCTAAATATAATGATCCTATCGTTAGTTCAATTGATTATGTATGTTCATCAGATGATTTATGTGATAAAATATTTTTCAACATATAAATTCATTGGATAGCTAATATTAATTATGAATCATTGAAGAGCAAATCTATTTATCTTATGTTTATGATCAACGATTGATAACATCAAAATTTCGTGTTTGATAATTAATTTAATAAATTATGTGAATGTTCAACATTCCAAACTATTTGACAAAACTGTTTTATTTCTTCTTAGGTTTTGAACGGATAATGAACGATTTGGTTTTTCAAATTCTTTTGCATTACAGTAAATAATGATATTTCATAGGAATGATAAAATAGCTCGACAAGTAGATATCACTTATCTTTTGAATAGACGCTTGACATTTCGGTTTGCTGAATTTAGAATTCTTCAAAAAAATAATTTTTCAATTTTTCGTTCTTTTCCTATGAAAAATAAATATGTACCTAAACTTCTCTTTTATGTTCGTCAAATAGATATTCAAATATCTATATATTCGACAATTTTCTAGATGTTAAAACTCATGCGAACACGTTTGTAAACTGAAAGAAGAATTATTAGTTATCACACCTGTTAATGATACGAAATAAATGGTGTTCAATTCTAATAAGAATGCCTTATTTTTTAAGAATTATGTTATTTTATATGATGCAGAAATTAGAAACAAATAGTAAAATTCAATATACAATATATATTTTAATTTAAATACTCTTCAACGAAATTGAATGATTTTTTTTGGATCTTTAGAATTTTTTGAGATACAGATTAGAAGAATTGTCAATTAAAGCATGTTTCAAATTATTTAAATCTGATAAAGAAATTATGTTTTCCAGGTTTTGAGTGTTGTTTTGTTGTTTTCAGTTGAATAAAATATTTTGGAATTTTGTCCAAAGATTAAATTAAAAGTTACTTGTCATCTGATATTATATGATGTATTTAATTAGATTGAAAACTTGCTAATACTGTACTATGATTTGACAACGTTGTGTAAATAAAGATTTCTTTTGATCGTATCATTTTATAATCATGACGCACGATAAGTTTTAGAAATGGAAAGGGTTATAGATTAAGTAAAGCCATCGACACATTAGAAGACCCGGAGTCTTCTATTCTGTCTTATCGTTCATAAGTTAAAAGGGGGATCTTCTATTATGTCCCTTAAAAAAGTCATCTTTTTTTGGCAATCCCACCTACAAACCTTAGCTTCACTTGATTTTTGTCCAATATATCGTTGGTAAATGAGTTTGCTTCACTTATTTCACATGTGTAGAATAAGAAAGAAACAGATATCATCCTGTGAAAAAAGGGAGACCATTGTTGGTAAGAAGTGTTCTTAGAACAATACAGTCAATGTAGCCTAGCATCTTGGTACGATATCCCACATCGTTCTTTTTTCTCTAGGCTAACACCTATCACTGGCAACCTTTTACCTTCTCAATAACTAAATAAATGTAAAAAAAGAAAATTAATGTTTTTTATCAAACTCATTTTATTCAGTTGCTTATGTGGAGATGTGATTAGTATAGATGGAATATATTCATAGTGAATTCTGCTACTAGTAAAGTTATTAATCTTAAGCTAACTTCAATGAACACGATTGTCTTGTGAAGAAACCATCTATAGAAAATCAGCAGTTGAATACACACACTGTTTTTGTTTTGCGTCTGTTTCAAAAAATGCCATTGTATCTTATTGAAAAAAGAAATGCATTCTGAAACTCAAAAAAGTACTCACATATCAAATCTCGACGTTTATACAGTCTACGCAAAAAACTCTGGGACATTCAAGAATGGCTCTCCGAAATTTCATCTTTCATTTGAAATAAACTTTATATATATATTTTAAGTATAGTTACTGGTTAAACTTTCGTACTTTACTCTACAGACGCAAAACTTCTAGTTTTAATATTATATGAAACTGTAACCAGTAACTATACTTAAAATATATATAAAGTTTGTTTCAAATGAAATATAAAATTTTGAAGAACCATTCTTGAGTGTCCCAGAATTTTTTGTGTGGACTGTGCATGAAGTTATGTTTTCTTCAATTATGAAAGACTGTTTTGTGGTGAAAACGTTTCTGATTTTCTAGAAGAAAGTCAAAGATAAAGAGACCTTTGAATTAATACAAAGCGGCACTTTACCTAATCTGTTACTATTGTACAAAGATCCCTTCACGTGTTACATGCACGAACGGGCACTGCGTTCATTAGATCCTATGACTATGGAAGCGTGTTTTCGTGTATAGAGCCTGAAGAATGTATTCAACGTAAGCTGCAAAGGAGTACTAAAATGACTCCATGGTATATTTTTACAAAGAAACGCAATCTTTAATAGACAGTTGTTTCCTATTAGTTGCTTCTCAGGATTTTACTCATTCGAGCCTGACACTTGGTTATGAGGGAGGAAGCAAGATATTGTTCGTACTGAATTTCGATATCATTCTAGGCTTAAATACTAAACAAGTCAATAAACTCCAGAAACTGTTTCAAAATATCGATTTTTTAAGAGGGGAGGGGGGTCTTCTAATATGTCTTTTGCGTCATTTATTCAAGGGGGGTCTTCTATTATGGGGAGGTCTTCTAATATAGGGGGGGTCTTCTAATGTGTCGATGGCTTTAGATATATTGTAGAAATTGGTGAGAGCTAACTTCCTCTTTGATTGAGATCTATATTTATGTTTAACCCTTTCGTTACATAATTTTTTTTTTCCTGCATTGAAACTCAGTACATTATTATATTCGCTGTTTTTAGAGATAGGGACCAGCGATGAATTGAGAGATAGACGATGAAGCGATCGATCCCGCCTTTTCCAAAATCCTCAGTTCACCACTAATAGGGACATATGTAAAAAGTAACTCATGTGTTCTCGCATGTGATTTATGGAATGTAAGTTATATCGAACCTTATTCTACTTGAACGAAAATTTTACCCGCTGACTTTTATTAGTTGTAAAACCTATAGAATGTTTTCATGAAATAACAAAAAACAATTTTTATGTTGTTTTACACAAAAAGAAATACCACAAAAATTGCATTTTATGTTACTAAACACTGGACGAGCTTTCGTGCTGCAATATCCGCATCTTCCTTTGGGTCCAGCAACAGGCATATGGGCTAATAATGGAGTTGATAAACATGTATTCCCGGGTGTCGACTGAATTCGTCTTCGTTTTTGAGCAGAATAGTGAGCAGGTCTGCCTCTTCTTTTCCGTGAACTTGTATCACCAACCAATGACAATGAGAGAGAAGAGAGGAATTCAACATAAGTCATGTGTTGTTGATTCAGATCATTGTAACAGATGAATGAATTCGAAAGACTTGCTTGGAGAAAATAAATAAATATGCGAAACCAATTTCGCGTACATTTTCTGTCAATTGAATAACAAGAGATGCGTTGATCAAACGAATCTACTCCACCCATTAACTGATTGTATTTAGATATCATTTGGGGACAAATAACAGGTTGTTTTGAACCATCTTTTCCTCTTCTATTAATCATTTCCGTTTTTCTTGGATCAAAGGAATTACTTGCAACAAACACAGGTTTCTTGTCCTGCCATTTCACAACCGATATTTGTCCAGAAGAGCAATATTTATATTCACCTCTTTTTAATCTGTCGTTTTGTAAAAGCTCTGTAGGAAATAACTTTCTATTAGTTCTTATTGTTCCAGTTCCTCCAATTTTTTTCTGCTTTAGTTCTAAGAGCAGCCGAATGGATGTGAAAAAATTATCGAAAAATAGCTGATGATTCACTAAATTGATCTTGCTAATAAGCTGAAAAACAACATCTTCACCCAGTGTTCCTTGTCTATTTTCTTGTTTACCAGTATAAATATCGAAATTATAAAGATATCCTGTCAAAAATCTGCTAAACACCACACTTTGTATCCTCTTTTGATCGGCTTTGAA